GAAGGTTGATTGATTGATTGATTGATTGATTGATTGATTGATTGATTGATTGATTGATTGATTGATTGATATGTGGGGGTTTAACGTCCCAAAACCACCATATGATTATGAGAGACGCCGCAGTGGAGGACTCCGGAAATTTCGACCACCTGGGGTTCTTTAACGTGCACCCAAATCTGAGCACACGGGCCTACAACATTTCCGCCTCCATCAGAAATGCAGCCGCCGCAGCCGGGATTCGAACCCGCGCCATGCGGATCAGCAGCCGAGAACAAAGGAAGGTTACAAAGAATGATCTTCATGATGTACCACGTGTATGGACGTTGTCTTCAGTAGTTCACTCGTGATTGCTCTTGGCTCTTGGTTGCCAGCTTAGTCAGTGATATATGGTACTGCTTGTGCGTTAAAATAATTGTTAATGAGAACTGACAGACAATTATACCATAGGAAGTGTATGGGGTGCATTGCTAGAAGTAATTATCACGTAATTGTGAAGAAAGAAAGGGGACGAAAAGATAACTTGCCGTGGGCAGGGACCGAACATGCGACCTTCGAATAACGCGTGCGATGCTCCACCAACTGAGCCACCACGGTGGCTATCCCCCCCTTCCCCCCATCCACTTTATGGGATATTTATGTGCATTTCATCGTGGGAGTGTCAGTCAGCACCGCCTGTTGCCATTTCGGCGAGTGTGGCATATGGTGGTTTAACGTCCCGAAACCACGATATGTTTGTGAGGAACGCCGTATAGTGGAGAGCTCTAGAAATTTCGACCACCCGGGGTTCTTTAACGTGCACCCAAATCTGAGCACACGAGCCTACAACATTTCCACTTCCATCGGAAATGCAGCCGCTGCGGCCGAGATTCGCTCCCACAACCTGCGGGTCAGCAGCCGAGTGCATTGGCCACTAGACCACCGTGGCGGGTTTGCTCGTGTATTGTGTTTAGGATATAGTGGTTATGTGGGCCTCACTTACAGAAGAAAAGAGAAAGAAGGATATATGAATGCTAAAGAGAGAGAGGACGTTAAACAAATCAGGATCACAGATACTCTACTCCCTACACTCAGGAAAGCGGCGGGGCACCTTTAAAAAAATGATTAGTGCAAAAAAAAAAACAGATGAAGAAAACACATAGAAAAGGCGGGGAGCTTACAGTTTGCTGCCCTACAATGCGGGAGGGTAGGATGACAAGACAAATATGATTAAAGAGAGGAGGGAAAAGGGAAATCAAGACAAGGTAAGAATGACGGAGATGTTCATTATAGGTTAATGGTGTAGTTCGCTACTTTTCAGTTGACAAGAGAAGAAATGAGTGTGGACGTTCTTCCATATATATGTTCGCTCTTTAAATAGATACGTCGAAATAATTACGCAATTAAACGACTTTTTATGACTATATACGATACAAATAGAAAAGAAAGGATCGAAGGAGGATGTATTCCTTTCGGTTTTCTATACAGCAAAACTGGCATTTCACCTCGGCCGCATTGAATGCTCACCTACTAGCCCAAGTTGCAGCGCTGTTCGCCGCGAATATATATGCATGCCGACTTTCGGGGCTATATACTGAATGACAGCACGCGTCTGAATGGCCGGGACGAAAGATCTGCGCAGAAGAACGCGAAAGTAAAACAGCGCGAGACGGAAACGCGAATGATACAGCGCAGCCAATGACAATCGTTCTCTCAGTTCACGTATATACGTCGAGCGGAAGGGGGAAAAAAAAGAAAGAAACGCCAACGACTTGTTCTAGCATGTCGACTGTTGTAGCCCTTCGCGCAATACGTCCGTTGCTCCTCTTCCGCCTTTCTACGTCAGTGTTTTTGTTTGTTTTTTTATTTCACAAAGAGAGAAGTAAAGCCGAAAGAGAAAACACCCCCGCCTGGTATAATAAAGAAACTTCCTTCTTCGGCAGACATTTGAAACAGCCGAAGGTCGCGTGGTGCCTATCTCTTTTTCTTTTAGTCTGCAGACACGAGCCATTGTTTCCCGCTTGCTTTTTCTAGCCCTGCCTTTTTTTTTTCGTTTGTTTTTACTTTCCTGCGCGTCCACACGCCATTGCCTCTGACGCGTCTCGCCTCTGGCAACGACCGCGAACGCGTTGGTGCAATCCGAGCTCTTTCTCGCCACACCACGCGCGACGTTCAGCAGTCAGGCGGAAGTCCAACGAGAGCCGTCGCATGCGGCACCCGCAGGCAGATCCGGGAAACGCGCCCGCGACCTCGCCTCCCGTCCCGCCCATCTTCTGACGCCATGACGTCGTCGTCATCGGTCGCCTCTAGCGACACGGTGGCAATCCCTGTCACTCTCTCAGCGTGGCGTGCCAGTTTGAAGAGCAAAACAAAAAGCGACTACGATCAACGTGACCATCTTGAATACCTCGGATTCTATTTCGTGACCATCAATTTCATGATCATCAACTTTCTTTTCACAGATTGATAGATATATATGTGTGGTTCAATGTCCCAAAGCCACAATAAGATTATGAGAGACGCCGTAGTGAAGAGCTGCGGAAATTTCCACCACCTGGGGTTCTTTGACGTTCACCCATATCTGAACACACGGGCCTATAGCATTTTCGCTTCCATCGAAAATGAAGCTGCCGCAGGACACTTCATTTTCGCATGTCCTCAGCGATCTGGGCGGCGCTCCGAACTGTGTACTCTCGAAGAAAAGAAGATTCTCTTTATTTATAAATTTTTATGAAGCGAAAGAAGGGAGTCCTGCTCGTTTCTTTGTTTTAAGTCAACCTTCATGTAAGCCCGCAGATAACGAAGCCTATAGGAAGGTATGGGGGACGTTAACTGTACAGCTTTTAAGAGTACTGTAGTGGTTATATGATATAAATGCGAAGAAAGTAAAGTGAACGAAAGAAAAAAAAACTTGCCACGTGGACGGAGCGAACCTGCAACCTCCGGACTGTGCGCGCTATGCATTTATCAATTAGGCTACGGGGGCGGTCCTCCCCTCGTCCACATTATCGGGTATTTATATGCGTGAAACCTCGGAGTGTTATCGCCACTCGTAGCCATGAAGGGTGAGCGTGCGAAACTTTTCCTTTTTGCCCCAAGGCGTCTCGCAGCGCGTATGTGACCCTTTGACGAGTGGACAACTGACCAATTGGCCCTTGCATACTACGTGCATCAAGCTTGCCGGAATGATACGCGTTCCCTTCGGATAACGAGACAAATTATACTCCTCTTTGAGAGTAATGTGACCAATTAGAGAGTTAACACGACTTTCTAAATATGGTCATATACGCGGCAATTCGATTTAATTCAATTCAATGTTCATTTGCCCTTCAAAGAAAGACAGCTGCTGTTAAAAAGGTGCGCCAATGAGCACATCGGCGAGGTCAAGTCAGAACCCACTAAAGATAGTGACATATTCCCTTTTCTTGTCGTTTTTATAAAGTTTGTTATTGCTATGATCGGCCCGTCTTCAGCGGTGTATGATGAAAAACGAATGGAACGAAATGAAAGTGATCGCTACATTACGCCCGCTCATATGTTGTAGTACAGTGTGCCTCTCAGTGGCGTAGACAGAAAAACGCCCGGCCTACGAGGAAGGCGCAGCACAGTCGCAGCGAAAGCTGGAAGAGCGGCCTTTCAAGAGTCTTTTCTGACACTCATTGTGTCACTGATGCAAGCACACTTGCTTGATGCCCACTACGGCATTATTAATAAAAATTTTAGAGTAGTAAGCCGGGGGTGCCATTCTGGACACTGTCTAATTCCGTCATATTGTCACAAATTTTGTAATGGCGGCATTTTAAGCCAATCAGAGAGGTTGTAGCAGCTCACTTGGCTAATTAGCATCAATTATTGGCAGAATTTGACAACATGGCCGAATTCGACAATGTCCCGAATCCGGCACTTGCTATGCTATCTTTCTTATTCTTCTGAGAAGCGTGGTATCCGCTAAATTATTGCGAGTAATTTCGTGCCAATTGTTCATGCAGTGGCCGAAGACGATGAGGAATTATGGCTGAAGCAGGTATGCGTCACAGTTAATAGCTGAACAAAAACAAGCTTTTGTAATGGGCTGGAGCATAGGACGACCCGCTCTTTACACTATTCGAATTGTGCGATGACTGCTTGTTCTTTCCCTGTTTTAAAACGCTTCATAAATCGTCTGAACGCGGTTGCTTTCCCGACATCAAGCCTGCCTAGGGCAACTTTGCCAACAAGTCCCAAGCACCGGCGTAGCTCAGTGGTAGAATACTGGGCTGGCACCTTGTGGACCCGAACTTTAGCCCCCACTGTGTCATTGGTACTAGGTTTATTTACTAATTCCGCGCGATGTGGTTACGGACACCAGCGGCGGCAGCGGACAACTACGACGCTGCGCGAGATTCATAACAGCTTTCGCTGTAATTGGTTTTAGGGGAGGGGGGTCATTGTTGTGAAAATTGAAATGAACAAGAAAGGACACTTAAAGACGCTGTTCATCAGCGCGATTCGAACACACTACCTTGGAATGGGAAGTCATGTTACGACCGACACTTACGGACACGCGGGCGAAAATTCGGAGCGACTTTCCTCCGCGTGCTCCTCCGCTTGGCGAGAGCAATCGAATTCGCGAGCCGCTAATAATTATCGAGTCCCGATGATAGTCCGTCCCGCAGGCAGTAAGCGGGCGCTCGTGCCCGACACACACACAAGCGCACACCGACACACGCCGACACGTGCGGGCTGAGATTGCACGATTCGCGGGCACTCCTTTCCATTCCCTCTCGCCCTCTTCTGACGGCAGCCTCGAGGGTGTCGTGGACGTTCGTTTCGACGACGGGCGCCTTCAGGCGACGTACCGCCGCGTAGGAATTGTAATAAGGGCGCGCGCACACAAAACAAACGGGGCCTTTCCCTTCCGTTCTCCTTCTCGCCTATCCTCTCCCACGACGAGACCAGCATCCAGGGGAAGGAAAGCGCGCGGCGAAGACAGAAAGAAATACGTAACGTGCGAGTGAGTTGTACGGCGCTCGGCGTTACGTTCGCGGGAGTTGGGCGATGGTGAGGTGGTGAGCACAGCAGAACGCCTCGTGCTTTCTGTTGTGGTGTGGCCGATTGAGAAGAAGGAGAAGGAACGTGTTTATCTAGTCGAGAAGGGAGGAGAGAAAAAGTCCCGGCGATATGTGGATGTGTGGACGACGCAGGCTTGCGGCGTGTTGTCTTCGTTGTGGCGGCAGCCGCCGGAACTAGCCGCACCAACGTCGATCAGCGAAAGCGACGACGCCGACCACAGTCATACCGCTGTCGTCCAGCTCACGTCCGCTGAACGACCCTGCTTTCTGCGCTGTCACGTAAGGGTGCCAGTGTGCGACGGTTTCAAAGTGCCGCCGCTTGTCGATCCGACAGGACAACGTCAGCGTTCACGTTCGCCGCTGCGTCAAAGTGAGTTCTCGTGTGTGTGACAGGTCTCGAGTGACGGGGATACCAAAAAGCCTATAGCCAAGCCGCACTACGTGAAGGGATTGGTATCAAAGAGAAAATTGCTGAGCACGCCTGGGTGAAGTCAGCAGAAGCCGTGTACTAGGGGTTCCAGTTGTGTTGCTTGAGCAGTGCTGTACAAAGACCGTCAATCCAGAAAGTTGCTGATCCGAGTGACTCTGGCTGAACCCGCTTCAAATCGCAACAGGAGACCTTTCGAGCGTAGCGTAATATAAGTGCTGATACCAGCATCGCTTCTTGTAACCGACGTACTGCGCTTACAGGCTCAGCAGAGGAGTCGGAAGGCAAGCCACTTTGCTTTCACGTTTCACAACTGCTGTTGCGTGTTGGACGTTGATAGCAGCAAACTCGCCCCAAAAGGCGCACCGGAACTTACAAAATCTCGACGGAGCCTGATCCTACAAGACTCGCCGCTGTTACGATGACCACTCTACAAGACACCGTCGTGCCGGAGACGGACGAGCCTTGCAAGGCCGAACTGCCCGTGGTGCACGAGGTGAACAACGTCGCCGAGATGCACGGTGGTGTTGGGGGCGTCCGCGCCGACAAGTTTCCGACGTCTGGTGTCGGAGGCAAGCCGTCTCCGACGACGTTCGCCAACATGCCGTCCGAAGACCCACGAGACAAGAAGTGTCGCGTGGCTCAACTCAAGTCCAGGATCGCCGTGTTCAGGTAATGAACAAGCATGCCGCGGCAGACCTGGCGAATGATGCGAGTATCGCTGCTGGCAGCATCCACTTTTATCTCATTCAAATCCTGACCGCAATAACGGTTCGTTTGCTTTAGTTATCGAGGGTTTTACGTGCTGAAACCAAGACATGACCATGAACCCCGCAGCATTGGAGGACTCCGGAAATTTTTTGATCACCTGGGGGGTATCTTTCACTTGAATATACATAACGTCTGTGTCATTTTGTATCCGTCAAAAAACGAACGCCGCGTCATGAATCAAAACCCACAACTTGGCTTAGCAACCGATCACTGTGCCATCGCGGTGGCGTTTCGTTATCTTAGTTCCCTGGACCGAAGGCTGTGCTCAATCTTGCACAGCTCTGGGATTTCTTACAGAGCAGGCGCAAATGTCACGGACAAAATGGGCATCGTAGTGATGTAGTTTCTAGCTGCAGATAACGACTGCATTTGCGCTGAACTTGGTGGTTGTTAAGGGAACGATTCATATCGCCTTGTCTGATTATGGCTTACCAAAACTTTTTTAAGTACTGGAAACTTACTTCTGGCCTATCGTACATACGTAGCATGTCTGCAAGTGGAATTCAGATGCGACAAAAATTCAGGTGAGTAGGTTTTTGGCATGTATTGTTCTGGTTAGGACAACGAATATATTTAAATAAGTCGTGATCTGCTTCAATCAGCTTCGTTTTTTATGTCACTTAGGATAGGCCACATGTTTCACCGCTAAGCTAATAGGACAATACAGAAGCGCAGTGTTGATTGATTGATATGTGGGGTTTAACGTCCCAAAACCACCATATGATTATGAGAGACGCTGTAGTGGAGGGCTCCGGAAATTTCGACCACCAGGGGTTCTTTAACGTGCACCCAAATCTGATTACACGGGCCAACAACATTTCCGCCTCCGTCGAAAATGCAGCCGGGTTTCGAACCTGCCACCTGCGGGTCAGCAGCCTAGTACCTTAGCCACTAAACCACCACGGCGGAGCTCGAAAGCGCAGTGTTCCGCCATGTTTCTGAAAAAATGAAGTCTTCGTTTGTAAGGTTGTCATCAAAGGAAGTCTGCGGTTTTCGTAACGTGGACCCTGCATTCGGACTATCGTATCATTTTAACTGGAACAATAGCCATTAACTGGGCCTTTTGTATGCCCTAACCTGCAAGGGTGTTAGAAATCTTGATTTTATGTTCCGCTTCGCATCATCGATTTGGTTAAATTAATAGAATGAAAGTTCTTACGCTTTTATAATTGCCGAGCGTCGTTGGTGTGTTACAGTTTCGCAGGCGCCCACATGCATGGTCGGTGATTCTCGGTCCGGCAGACCGGTAAACAACGAATAGAGACTACACCTGCGTTCGCCGCATAGAAGGCGGATAATCTGATATAAAGTTCGGTATTACTGCGTAATCGATGCGGCTGTGTTGACTCGCTTCCTCACCCTGCAGGGTGGTTCAGCGCATTGCATTTATGCTATAAGGTGACCCAACAGCTGGGACCTCGTGGTATCAAGGTGTTAACCGCACCCCTTACGGTCTTCAGACGTACGCGGTTTATTAAGAGGATTACCAAATGCTGTCATGACAAGAACAAAAGTGTTTTGCATAACCTTAACTGGTGAAAGCTTTTCGCAGAGATTTGCCATTGATCCCGTTTTAGAACCTTCAGCCACAAGCGTGTGCCGACTATTCGCTACACAATCGTGCGATTGAAAATTATATCACTTACAGAATGCGAACCTGTCTCGACAGCTCAGCTATTGTGATGTTGTGTTTCTGAGCATGGATGGGATTGCGGGTTCAATTCTCAAAAGCAAGCCGCTGCATTCAGACAGAGATGAAATGCCAGAACGCTGACTCAAGACTAAGAGTGGACGATAAGTTGAAAAAGAAAACCGAGTAAACGAAATTAATTCGAAGCACGAACACTATCCGCGGCACGCCTGCAGTTGCTACATTGTGGCTGCACTATCTACGTACACATTATAATAATCGCTATCAGACTTGTATACAATAAATAGGAGGCTTGCCACGCTGTCTAAGGCATACAGAGAATGTTCCACCGCATGGTAGGGTGGTAAGACGTTGATGTCACGTGCTTGCTATGTAGTAAAGGTATAGTCCTTGGGCCGGAGAAGGTCCTGCACGGAAAAGCTTGAAAGCAGTGGTTTGCAGGCAACGTCCCAATCGTCTTCCTGCCCACTACTCGCAAGCGTCCCAGTCGTGGTATATATTTTTGTTGCCCGATAGTAAGGTCGAGTGATTACGGTGTTTGTGGTGCTCCGGGTTGCGGGATGGAATCCCGGCGGCCGCATTCTCGATAGATGCTGGAAGCCCCTGTGCTCAGATGGTCGAAATTTGCTGAACACTCCTCTACGGCGTCTCTCATAATTAAGTCGTCGTTTTGAGACGTAAAACCCCGACAAGTATTGTCACTGCTGCCCACTAAACGCTAGCTTCCCCGTTTACACACATCTCGAAACGGCGGCGTGCGTGGCGTGCGGGCCATGACATACGGCTCTGGCTGGCGCCATACCGTATTTGTCTCTCGCATCGGTGGCCGACAACTTTCCGCCTATTCTTTTCTTTTTGTACTTTTCTTCTTGCGTTAGACGGATGCGCCAGTCCGGCCACTGTCGGCAGACGCCCCGTCCATGGCCTTCGGTTCATCTTTTTTTTCCTCGATCGCTGGCGAAACACCTTCTCGTAATGGCTTTCTTAAGAAGAGTATCTATCTTTTCGTAGCAAACAAGACCGAAATGAGGGGACATTCTCGTTGCGTCCGGTTGGGGGGCGTATGTGCGTACATAAATGTGAATTATCGCCCGTCCATATATGAAACGTGCGTACAATGCGCGGCCACGCTTTGCCGTGCATGCGTAGCCCGTAAGGCGCATATATGAGTGACTTGAGCGGCAGCCGTGACACAACCGGGCCTTGTCTTCGAGATAAGTAGACCAAGAAAGCAGAAAAAGAAACAAACGGCACCGGATCTTGCATAACAGCGACACAGGGAACTACGGAAACAGCTTTTTGGCGTGCGTCCTTCTGGGAACTGAGCCTGGAAGTAATCCGTTGCAGATAAGTTCCGATCGTGTCTTCAGTTCCGCTTTTCGAATTGCGCTTACGCGATATTTCCCGTTGTATAGCAATAGTGCCAGTAAATCGGCGTATTCGCTTTGCCACTTATTGTCCCCTTTTGTTGTGAGATCGATAATGTTAAGATAGTGGAGCCCCAACACGGGCAAGATGGTATTACAGCGTATATATGATCGATTGACACATAATTGTTCAAAAAGGTCATGGTGGAACTAAGTGACGCTCGAAACGAGCGCACGTACAGGGAGTTCCAACATTGGCCGTGGTTGAAAGGGCCCAATGCCTTCACTGAATCACCGGCAAAAGTGAAATCTGTTTTGGAAATACCTGTATAGTCGAAACGTGTTTTACGTCACTGGTTGTTTCCCATGTCGACGCCACCGTGCAACGCTATAGCGCCGTCTTTACCATAGACAGCGTGTTGCAACTGCAATCGGATGTGACTGTACTTTGCGCATGAGCGTTGTGTGTGCAATGCGTATATATGCGTTTAATACATATACGTTCGCGCCACGTCCCACTTCTCTTCCTCCTCAGGCCCAATGTGAACGTACAGTCGTGAACAATGTAATAGGGAACACAAAATTCATGTTTACACAACATACGTACCGCACGCCGTACGAATGCGACCTGTTGAATTACCAAAAATACCATGCCGCGTGAAAATATAGCGCTACGAACACTTTTGCGCTTGCAGACTGCGTTTAACTGCTGTTCCCTCTCGTACTGCTTCAGGCTGTATAATATGCACACACAAAAGGAGCATAAATATTAAAATCAATGAGCACAGTTGTTTTTACGTGAGTTAGTGTTGTCTATGTCTGATTGAATACTTTTCAATAATTCAGCCATTTGCACGTTGGCAATGAAATCAAAGTGTTTAGATGCGTCTTAATGAAAAAGAAGACGTCTGTGAACACGAAGTGCTTTGTTGAAACAGTGACCTTTAGTGCACATCTTTAGAGAGGAGAAAATAAAGGTTAAGTGAAAGACGAGGAGGTTATAACCACATCCGGTTTGTTACCCTGCACCGTGCAAAAGGGTATTATTGAGATGCACGAAAAAAAAAGCGAAAGGAAGGATTTAAGATTGATTGGTTGATATGTAGAGTTTAATATCCCAAAACCGCCATATGACTGTGCGAAACGCCGTAGTGGATGGCTCCGCAAATTTTGTCTACCTGGGGTTCTTTAACGTACACCCCCAAATCTGAGCATACGGGCCTACAGCATTTCCGTCTCCATCGAAAATGCACCCGCGGCTGCCGGGATTCGATCCCGCGACATGCGCGTCAGCAGTCGACTACCTTAGCCACTAGATCACCACGGCTGGGCAAAAGGTTTAAGATATAGAGAAAAAGGTAAAAGAAAACACACACACTCCCGTGTCTTGTGTCTTTTGTGTGCTCACGTGTTTGTGTGTGTGTGTGCCCGCGCGCACACACAAAGCACGTCGGTGTAATAGGAGTTCAGCGAGGGTGGTTGGCAGCGGAAACACCGGTGGCGCCTTCGTTGCCTTCCGGTGTGAACTTACAGGCATGCATGCTGATCAACTAGCATGCTTTAACGTGTCGCTCAACGCCTCGTTGCCAAAGCTGCTTGTTGAACATCTACCGTCGTGAACTCGTTCGTGGCGTAATTTTTGTCAACTGGGCCTCGTCAAGTCTGAGACCCACGGGATGACTTTATGCTCACCCATAGTGAGTATCTAGTACTCTAAATCGTTACCCACATTTTCCAAACACATTATGAAATACCGCTGTATCGATTTCGCCAAGTGGCGAGAGTGACACGCTCGCATATCTGCGCCGAGCAATTGCGCAACGCTTTGCTTTCCTCCCGGCGACAATAACAAGCTTCTCGACTAACCGTCGGCGATATACCGT